CTTCAGTACTCTGATTGTTCTCTTCAAAGATATTCTTTTTGCACAGATTTTATTTTCACTGAATTTACATAAGATATATAACACAGCAAAAACCAACAATAAAGCTACATGTCACTTGAGTGCTTGACTCCTCTAATCATTAGAGGGTTACCCTGAAGTTATCTGATTTCCCTTTACAAATCCAAAAGATAAGTACTCGACCTTACAAAAGAGCAGCTGAGTGACCTAACCCCTACTGCGGTATTAAACTTACTCTATGGTCACATTTGGGCTTCCCTGGTGGTTCAATGGTAAAGAATCCACCTGCCTGGTGGGCTACAGTCCACAGGGTTGCAAAAGGTGGACACGACTGAGCGACTAAACAACAACAACATGGTCACATATAGATACCTCCCAAATTCATAAACCATGAAAAAATTAAATTCCTTTTGGAAGGCATATTTTGTCAACATATTTTGGGGAGAAGATCTAAGTATCAATTTGTAAGTGAGGGAAATTACTGCCATGATTCTCATTCTCTGTTGAGAGACACTACTATCTCATTCTTAGACTGAAAGAAAACCTGTGAGATTGTTGTCAATATACTGAATTACAAACCACAAAATGATTAGAAAGTCCAATTCCAGTGGGACTGACTGGAGAGACTATTTAGAACTTAAAGTAGGAAAAAAAAAAATAGATTAACTACCATCATTAGCTCATAAGACCAGTGAGTAGAAATTAGAAAAAAAGGGAAACAATAATTTTTCTATTTTTTTAACTTGAGAAATATTTAAAATTCTGTCCAGTTCTATACCATATCTATTTGGATAAAACATATACCATGACATAAAACTAACCAATTTCAAAACCTCTTCCTTTTCTGCTCTGCTTTTTAAATAGTGAGGAGAGTGGAGGTAAGAAGGCCAGGAGAGCAGAAAAGTGGAAGAATAAGGGAGAAAAGAGAAAATGGAAGAATTACCTATACAGCAATGAGCACTTTTCTTTTCTCATGCTTCTGATCTTTGAAATTAGGAGCCTAGTAAAGGCTGCATCTTCTCTCATTTTCCTAAAGAGAGTACCACATACAAAACTAGTACTGAAGTTGTTGGAGGAAAGATTATTTCCAATGGGTTGTAAAGGAATGATTTACAAAGATAGGAAGGTTTACAAATTAAATAATAAGCCATGAAAAGTCAATTGTAGGTTCCTTCAACAAGGAATGACCTAGTATAAGGTATGCTCTAGAACGAATTTTAACTTCAAACAGGTGGGGGAAAAAGAAAGAGTGTCTGTGCATCTATAGGGCACACTACATAACAGCTGTCCTTCACTGAATGATAACAAAGTGGCATACACTGTGCTAGGAGCCTGTTCTCCCTCTCTCTCATCAGTCACAAAAATTAATCCACAGGATAGTTTCTTTGCACAAAGGTGTCCTTAACAGACAGAAAACAAGAAGAAATTTATTAGGTGATCAGAAGGCTGACTTAGAAATGAGGAATGTTCATATAGGAAAAAACACACAGATCAAGAATCCCTAGCAGTACATATTCAAGTTACTCAGTGAGGTGACTCACCAAGTGAACAAAATCAGGACAGTTGCTTAGACAATGGGGGAGAATTTAACTTATAGCTTAGTATAGTTTCATATTTAATATTTATATTCAACATCAAAAGGCAAGATAAGCCATTTATTAAACACACTTGTATTAAAAGAGATGCTCAAAGAAAAGAAAAATATTTTCAAAAATTTACAAGACTTAGAAATATACTAATAAAACTTATCTGTAGAATTGGTGGCTATGTTGCTTTTAGGAGGGTCATATGTACTATTTGGGCTTCCCTGGTGGCTCAGTGGTAAAGAACTCTCCTGCAAAAAAAAAAAGAACTCTCCTGCAATGCAGATGTAGTTTAGATCCCTGGGTCGGGAAGATCCCCTGGAGAAGGACATGGCAACTTATTCTAGTATCCTTGCCTGGGAAATTGATGGACAGAGGAACCTGGTTGGCTATAGCCCATAGGGTTGCAAAAGAGCCAGACATGACTTAGCAACTAAACAACAATGTAATATTTAGTACTAGTAGAAGATAAAAACTTGTTGACTAAAATTCATTCAATCTAGCCTCCTTTCAGATCTCTCCTTCCAGTGGTCTGTGCACACTACGTATGAGGAAAACACAAGCATCAAACTGGCCATCAATCTGAATCAAGAAGCAAAGCTTATAGTTAACTGAACAGATTTTTGCCCAGTAGAATAGATAAGTGGAGGGTGGGAAGTGTCCAGGATTGTTTTAATTCCACAACTCATTATAATCAGAAGTTAAAAATAGAACGGAACACATCTGTCACTGAACCTAGCTCATATATTCCAAGAAATTTTTATGGCTGTATTATGAATCTGTCCTCCTAGATAGACTAGTCAATCATTTTGCATAATCATCAACAACAACCAAATGAAGCAGCAACCTGAAACAACTGCCACAGGGCCAAGACAACTTGATTAGCCACAGCACAGTGTGATCACTTCATTTTATTCTTCAGGAAAACCTGCATCAGGACTGAGGTCAACAGGAAGCTCTTATACTTTCACTACACCTCAGTTCTATAACCAGTTTCCCTTCCCGAGCTACAGACTAGACTTTGCTTGATTAGATACTGTGTGCTTAGTCACTCAGTTGTGTTTGACTTAGCAACGCCACGGACTGTAGCCTGTCAGGCTCCTCTATCCATGGGGATTCTCCAGGCAAGAATACTGGAATGGGTTGCCATGCCCTCCTCCAGGGAATCTTCCCAACCCAGGGGTCAAACCCAGGTCTCCTGCATTGCAGGTGGATTCTTGACTGTCTGAGCCAGCAGGGAAGCCCATCCTAGTGCTTTCTAACTTTTATCTATGCATCTTTAAAAAATGTACACCTTAATTAGAATATCTGATAAATGACTAAGAAAATGAGGACTTAAGAGAAGTAGATTTGAAATCATACAATAATAGAGACTCTAAAACAAAAACAAAAGCAAACTAAAAAAGATGGAAATGATAAGTCTGATAGAGATCCTACTATGAATGTTCTGTGCCATAAGAGTTAGCAGTGTTAAATAGTTTTAAGTCTTTTGAATTACATAAATCTCTTTCCTCCTTCATTTTCTTATAGCTGGTGAATATACATTTGAGTTTTCTTGTGGCACAGAGTTAACCTAAAACGTTTCTACTAAAGTATTCTTTGGCCAGTATCCTGTAGACAGTTTTAAAGTAATCTGTGTTTCTCTTTGTTTTCAAAATCAGCCCCTACTTGTATTCTTAAAAACGGTTATCTAATTTCCTGCTTCGGTAAACTTGATATACTAGCTATTTTCTACCCAGAAGATAAAAGTAATTTTTTAGAAAACAGTCCATTGGAGTTAAACAGGACCAGCAATACATTTTTTTCCCTAACTTTGTCATCAGTAATTTCGGTAAAATATCAACAGTGGATCTCATTTAGGAGGATGTAGTAGAACATCTGTATGCACACACACACACATCCCTGGGTCCTACCACCTAAGACACTGCTTTAGAGTAGTGTGTTTTAAGTTCCACAGGTGAAAGTTTCAGCATCGAGTTACTCCTTAAGCCAATGTTTCTGAAGTGTTGGTTCTTACACTCATCTTAGTGTGTAACATTTTCACTGGGCCATACTGAAATGAGAAATGAAGAGTGCTAAACTTCCCACTTTTAACTTATAAACTGTTGTCCTAGCCTTCCACTCTACCCCTTTTGGGTGTAAAAATATTCTCCTTTGATTAAATGATGTTGATGGAAGATATTTATACCACAATGACTTGACAAAAGAAAAAGTTGGCAACACCACGCAAATACCCACTTCAACTTTTCTGAAATTTTATAGATCTGTGAAATTCAAAAACCCTGGGCACTTCCGCCTTTAAAATATTTAAAACAAGAAACATATTAGGAAGAGTCAGTAATTGAGAGTGACGGCACACTGGTACCATCCTCCAAGGGGCAGGCAATGAAATTATGCTTCTCTATGCACCCTCCCTCTTATTAACTGCCCAAAGCTACATTTTCTAAGTAAGTTTGCCAAATATAAAGTTATTTTACAAGTTCCTGAATTGTAAATTTTCCCTTATTTACTTGAATTACAAAGGGCATTTTCTCTGACTTGTTTTTCTTTCATTTTTCTTAAAAGAAAAAAAAAAAAAAAAGGCATGGTCTTCCCAGTGGTTCAGTGGTTAGGACTCGGTACTTTCACTGCTGAGGGCATGGGTTCAGTCATGAATGGGGAACTAAGATCTCACAAGCCTCATAGCACAGCCAAAAAAAGGTAACATGTTCAACACAGAAAATTTAGAGAATGACAGAAAATCACACAGGAAAAAATTAAAATAAACTATAATTCCACCAAGTAGACATAGCTACTCTTAATACTCTGGTCATATTCAGTCAATGTTGAAGTCACACCATGTATACTGTCATTAAATACTCTTTTAAATTAGAATTCTTAAATATTTGCATATATTAATACCCAACAATCATCATAATTTACTTAACCAAGTTCTTGGCTAAATTTTTTTTTAACAAGAAAAGTTTAAAAACCAGTATCTCAAAAAACAAATAATAAAAAAAATAAAAATAAAAACCAGTATCCCCTACTTATTTCTTGGTACCAAATTAGAACACACAAAAAATAACTAACTAGATAAGATAGACAGATAAAAAGAAAACAAAACAGAAACCATGTCAAAAACTGAAAGGTCATAATAGTTCCATACTTTTAACTGTACAGTATAAGCCTTTTCTCATCAAAATTTTCCATTGAATCGTTATTCAGTTTCATCCTCTTTGTTGTGTTTTTTATGACTTCATTGTGTCTTTAGAGAGCTTTCTGTATGTTGACTAGGTGGAGCTTCATATTAACTTATTTAGTGTTTCAAACAAATGATTAAACAAAAAATAACGTAGGTATGTAACAAATAAGCAATACTAGATCATATACTTCAACACTAAAAACATTTGAATTTACCTTGAACAAATTTGACACAGTGATTGAAGAGAAACACGGGGCATATAGGTTAAGGCAGCATTGTAACACAACAGAAGGAATGTCAACACTTCAAACCTAAAAACAAACCAAAAGAGTATTTACAAATCTTGAGAATTCCAAGAAGTCAGTTATAATTAAGCAAGCACTGGGGAGGGATATTGTGTTACAGAACAGACCTGTCCAATATAATCACACCAAGAACAATACAAAACCAAAAGGAAAAAGAAGTAACAGTCATATGAAAATTACCTTAAAAATTCAATGCGCCAGATGACATCTAAAACAAAATTTAAGTGACAAACAGGGAAGATGGGGTGTCTCTCTTGTATGAAATGACTCAACATTTTAAAACTTGTTATACACAACTCATTAAACATTATTTATAAATCTACTGACATAATTTCTTTAGAAGTCTGCATGGTAGAATAGTAGGTTATGTCTCCACAGTATACCTATTCTGTGCTGTCAGCATCTCTCTTTGGGGGTGAGGTCCACTGTACACAACTTTTGACAAACCATGCTGGGATAGGGCACTCTCTGTCAGAGCCATGGACCCAATGCTGGAAGGCTAAAGACAAGACACGTGAATAAAGAAAAAGCCATTCTGTTTAAGGTGTGGTATTTAGAATATATATACCAATATATATATTTAGAATGACTGCTATAAACATCATATATCTCAGAAATATTCAGATTGCCTACTAAGTATTCTGCTGAAAGATTTAACAAATGACTAAAAACAAACCACAAATAGAAATGTAAAATAGTTTAACTTCAAAAATTCTACCCCAGAAATACATAATTCACACACACACATAAAATCTAATCTTATTCATCAGATAAAGGGAAAAATATTCAAAATTAATACTTTTAATAGATCTTTTACAATCAGGTTTTAGTTTAATGATTTTGATTTCCCATTTACTTTGGGAATAGCAAAATACTTTGTGTGAAATTTTATACTTTTTAAGGTACTAGCAAACTGATCAAATTTTTCGCCTCAATAACCAACCAAACCCTAATCTACAGCAACTGCAAATCTTAGGACTAATAAACTTACTTTGATAAAAATGTAACTTACTTCATGATATACAGATGGTTTGGATAAAGACGGAATCGTAAAACTCAATACTTTACTATGTCCCTGTTTGTCAACTATTTCCTACAAACAAAAGAAAGTGAAAGAAAATGTCTCATAATATTTATTTTTTACAAATAAATTTAAATATTATTTTTTACACATAAATTGTTAGTGAAAAAAAAAAACCTGAAAAGAAAGGAATTTTAAAGTCAACTAAAATCTTAAACTATGATAATCCATTATTCATAAACATTAGGAGTTAACCTTCTCCTTAAAATGTAAGTAACATAGTTTTAAGGCTGAAATGCAGATGTCTTAATTATCATTGATTTTTCTGATGTAAAAAGTTCCATTTTCTAAATCAACTAACACAGTCCTGAAACATATTACAAAATGATCCTTAAATTACTTTTCCATTTAAAAAAGTACAAACCTTAAGTATGTATCTAGAAAATTTAATATAATATTAATATTATATACAAACATTATCAGTAATGCAAACTATATATTAAATCAATGGTGTGAGCTTTGGAGACAGTCCAGATTTTAGACAATTATTAGTGGTAGATCTTAATTTAAATCTTTTCTCCAAACTTTTTGTGAAAGTCACAATAATTTATAGACAGTAGCTTTTAAGTTTAAAAAATTAAAAATTTAACACTGATATTTTCAAATATTTCCATAAAAGAATTTAAATGGTCTGATTTTTAAATGGTCTCCAATCAGTAAAAATGTGTATTTACATAATTGTATGTATGGCGATACAGCCTTTAGCCTCCATAAGGTTATTTTGGGGAGAATGAGCAATGAGTCATCTGATGTAATAAAAAAACAAACATTAGCTCTACTAAAATGAAAAATAGTTGCTATTATGTATTCATTTTTGCTGATATTTGGCTTTTAAAACATTTTGTTAACTCCATTAAATACAAACCAAATTGTAAACCCCTAGAAGAAGAGCTTCAATGCATCCACTGCTGTGCACATTTCTGCTGGCGGAGACGGCGAGGTAGCACCAAATCAGTTCTGGAAGAAACTGCAGCGTAAATCGAAGCAACTGCTCCTCTCCACTGCGATAGAATTCAAAGAGCTGGTGACAGACAGGTTCCAACAACTGGAAGAAAGCCAAAACATTAACTGAAGGATTGGACTGTATTTGAATGACACTGATATATAAAACATAAAGCATTTTCCTGATTGGTAATTACTGAAATATGCAACCATTTCCATTTTTGGCAGCAAGACTATTCACAGCTAACCAGTTAGTAAACCTATGAATTCTAGTGGAAGGCCAAACTGCAAAGTTAAGTGTATACACAAGTACTCTGTAAAGTTTAAAACATTCTGTAACTCTAAAGTAGCATTGTTATTAAAACTATATCTTTTTAACGTCCTAAAATAAATAAATTTTCTTCCTTAATATCCTTTCTTCCAGATAAAACATGCCAATATACAAATTGCTGGCTACTGAGTTGGAGAAATTGAAATGGGAATCTTAGGTAGTTACTGTCACCTGGCCTTCCTGAGCTTATAATTAGGTAGCATCTGACTGTAATGACTGGTATGTAGAGTAGCTGAATAATATAAAGTCCCTAGATCTAGTTTCTTACTGTAACTATGATTAATTGCACCTAGATAATCTAAACACCTCTGTCATTTTGTTTTAGATGTGATTTGGACTTACTGATAACCATTTTTCTCCCAACACCCCCACAGGTATTCAGTTAATAGAGATGAGTGTATCTTTAAAGCATATATAATAATCACACACAGGTCACTTACAAATATGTCAAGAGATTCACAGGGCTATTTTTCAAACAGGCTATTATTATACTTTCAGTGAATGGGAGTTCATTCACTTCCCCAACTTAGGCAATAGATTTAGATCAACTTAAGAAACAGATTTTCTACTGCAAATAATTGGAATGAACAAAAACTGATTTAAAGTGGATGTCTTGATTTCAAAAAAGTTCAATATGTAAAGTAAACTTGATAAAATTAAAGTCAGAATTATTTATGCAAGGTAAAGAAAAAGTTGTACTTCAATAAACATCAACAAAAAAAAATAAACATTGACAAAATTGGTCTTTCCTACTGAAATACTATCTTCTTACAGTTCAAGAACATTTTTCCATCCTCAAAATGGTTGTTAGAGGGCAAGAGGTGTCCACTGTGGCATGGCAAAGGTAACTGGAAACAGAAGGGTCAGAGGCAAAGTAACACCCTCAAAGACTGCGCGAGAAGTTTTTAGGGTAGGAATTAATTTAGAAGAATGAAGAGGGGGTAGTGGAAGAAAGACTGTTATGGGAATATTTAGCTTTCAGAATGGAATTTTTAAAATTTCTTTGTGAGACAGAAATATAGATCAATGGAACAGAATTGAAAGCCCAGAGATAAATCCACGAACCTATGGACACCTTATCTTTGACAAAGGAGGCAAGGATATACAATGGAAAAAAGACAACCTCTTTAACAAGTGGTGCTGGGAAAACTGGTCAACCACTTGTAAAAGAATGAAACTAGAATACTTTCTAACACCATACACAAAAATAAACTCAAAATGGATTAAAGATCTAAATGTAAGACCAGAAACTATAAAACTCCTAGAGGAGAACATAGGCAAAACACTCTCCGACATAAATCACAGCAGGATCCTCTATGACCCACATCCCAGAATTTCAGAAATAAAAGCAAAAATAAACAAATGGGACCTAATGAAACTTAAAAGCTTTTGCACAACAAAGGAAACTATAAGCAAGGTGAAAAGACAGCCCTCAGATTGGGAGAAAATAATAGCAAACGAAGCAACAGACAAAGGATTAATCTCAAAAATATACAAGCAACTCCTCCAGCTCAACTCCAGAAAAATAAATGACCCAATCAAAAAATGGGCCAAAGAACTAAACAGACATTTCTCCAAGGAAGACATACAGATGGCTAACAAACACATGAAAAGATGCTCAACATCACTCATTATCAGAGAAATGCAAATCAAAACCACAATGAGGTACCATTACACGCCAGTCAGGATGGCTGCTATCCAAAAGTCTACAAGCAATAAATGCTGGAGAGGGTGTGGAGAAAAGGGAACCCTCTTACACTGTTGGTGGGAATGCAAATTAGTACAGCCACTATGGAAAACAGTGTGGAGATTTCTTAAAAAGCTGGAAATAGAACTGCCATATGACCCAGCAATCCCACTTCTGGGCATACACACCGAGGAAACCAGATCTGAAAGAGACACGTGCACCCCAATGTTCATCGCAGCACTGTTTATAATAGCCAGGACATGGAAGCAACCTAGATGCCCATCAGCAGACGAATGGATGAGGAAGCTGTGGTACATATACACCATGGAATATTACTCAGCCATTAAAAAGAATTCATTTGAATCAGTTCTAATGAGATGGATGAAACTGGAGCCCATTATACAGAGCGAAGTAAGCCAGAAAGATAAAGACCATTACAGTATACTAACACATATATATGGAATTTAGAAAGATGGTAACGATAACCCTATATGCAAAACAGAAAAAGAGACTCAGATGTATAGAACAGACTTTTGGACTCTGTGGGAGAAGGCGAGGGTGGGATGTTTCAAGAGAACAGCATCGAAACATGTATATTATCTATAGTGAAACAGATCACCAGCCCAGGTTGGATGCATGAGACAAGTGCTCGGGCCTGGTGCACTGGGAAGACCCAGAGGAATCGGGTGGAGAGGGAGGTGGGAGGGGGGATCGGGATGGGGAACACATGTAACTCCATGGCTGATTCATGTCAATGGATGACAAAACCCACTGCAATGTTGTGAAGTAATTAGCCTTCAACTAATAAAAATAAATGAAAAAAATAAATAAATAGAAATTGGATATTAAAAAAAAAATTTCTTTGTGGACCACTGCCAATAATCTTGTAAATTATGGTGTGACATCGCTCATCTCTAAATACCCAGGGAATCTTTAATTAAATCAATTAATATAGTCTAACAAATATTTGAAACTTATAAAACTTTACGCTGAAAATTTGATAGTCTGCATGTGCACATAATCAATTTTAATTAAAACACTCCAAACTGTCTTTTAAATTAGTTTAACATCTAAAACAGTTTTGATTTATAAAAGCAGAACCAAACGAAGATAGATTCAAAAGGGATGTAGCAGTTACACACTGCAATAAGATTAGATGAAATTAAGTACATCAAACCATTAAAGACCAATATTTATGCAGGGTTTTACACTTGCAAAGTACTTTCATATATGTAAACCCATTCAATTCCCATAATATTATAGGGCGCAATGTCTTTACCCTGACAATGTATTCTTTCTACTTAAGCAAATTGAGACAAAGAAGCTACCAAAACCAAAAATAATCACACAGTTCAGGAAGGTCAGACTGAAGCCAAGACTTTTTAACTACTTTATAAACATACCTGAAAAATGGCAGAAAAGAATAAGACAACAGACAATGTGGGAAACACAGGCAGTATTGAACTTATTTAACCTGATTATATTTGAGACAAATAATGGGGCATTAGAATATGCTGCATTCCTAGTGTCTTGCTCAAATTTTTTAATGTATTTTCTCAAGGAAACATTACTAAACTTGATTAGGTAGGTTTCATAGTACTATTGAGAGAATTGTACTTCAAGTATTAATAAATTTGATATTTAGATGGCCTTCTATAGTCTAATCATCATGTACCTTCTTTCCCTTCTAAAATACATTATAAATTCTATAACAACTGAGTTACAAATGAATTTTTACAATCATCCATTCATAAGTAAGAAGCTGTATCTTAAGAGTATTTTAATGGTAATAAGAAATGTACCATAAAATGCCTTTAAATGACTAAAGAAGATGGGAAAAAGCTAAGTTTGGGTAAATTTACAAGAGAATTTTCCAAACTTTCTTTTTCATTGAACAATTACTGAAAATATATGGGTAGGACAAAGATACAGAGAGGTTGGAGGGGACTACTATTTAGGTGCCAGCAGCCAGTGAACCGACGTCTCACTCTGGGCTCCCTATGTTTAGAACACCAAAAAGATTTCATGTCGCTCCTTCAAAAAAAAAAAAAAACAGCTGGCTTCCTACAAACCTAAGCATTTTTAGCCTCTAGTCCTATGCCTATCTTAAAGCTACAGTCAGTTAGAAGCACCAGTCAAGGAAACTGCACTTTATCCATAAACTGCCTCTTCACAGTTTCTTAAGCCTGACACACACACTGACCTCAGGGCCTCTGTGCTGTTTCCTCTCTGGAAAGCTCTTGCCCCCAGTTTTATTTTCTTGCTCTAATTCATTCAGACCTTCATTCAACCATCACCTCCTCAGCCCCAACACATACTTCCCCTACTCTGCTTTATTATCTTCATAGTTTTACCACTGACATTTTATTATACATTTAGGTGTTTGTTTAATGTTTATCTTACCTACCAGAATATAAGTTCTAATCTATAAGTATTTATTCTACTTTGTACATTTCTAAGTGATTTCTGACACATTATATGTGTTCAATGAATATTTATCAAATGAATTTAACCACATAATGATATTTGCAAAAAATCCAAATATCAAATTTCCCAGATTTCAAACAAAGTAGAATCAACATTTCAAATTTCAAAAGTGCCAAAAGACAACGACATCAACTTTTCAGGAATACTGTATCTCCACATTAAGAACAAAGTATTCTAAAGAGCACAAGGAGACTCTTTGTGACCACTGGACTCTACAGTCCATGGAGTTCTCCAGGCCAGAATACTGGAGTGGGTAGCCGTTCCCTTCTCTAGAGGATCTTCCCAACCCAGGGATCGAACCCAGGTCTCCCACATTGCAGGCGGATTCTTTACCAGCTGGGCCACCAGGGAAGCCCGAAAAGTAGATCACATTGTTATATCTGAGAAGTACTTCTGAGTACATTTTTTAAGACTGAGTTTTCTCTTTAAGAATACAGGATACACACTGTCTTTACCACATTGATCAGGCTAAAAACTAGATTATTTGCTTTTATCCACATGCCATGCATCTTGACTTTCCTCACCATTTCCAATCCTTATCTACTTCTACTATGAATGGTAGGATTTATAAGCACCAGAATCTGGGAGTACAGTTCACTTTAACACTTTCAAACTAAATTTGCTATCTAAAAATGCAAAGGAAATGCAGGAGAGGGGAAAGCAGAGAAAAGAAGCAAGGGCTGGGAAAAACTTACCACCAGAACCAAACTACTAGCTACTCAGATTTTGTGCATTTTCTCAGTCCTCCACATGCTATTCCCTTCAACTTGCGATGTCCTTTTACTTTCTACACCTGGGAAACGTGTGCAAATCCATCTAGACTCAGTTAAGCATCGCACTGAAAGTATGTATTTACTTATTTTCTCCCTTTCCTTTTTTGGGACACAGGCCATGCGCTACTCATCTTTGATGAATTTTCTGTTTTCTGAGTTTTCTGTTGCCTAGCACTGCAGCTGACACATAATGAACACACAAATATTTGCTGAATGAATAAACGAATGCAGTGACCCAGGTTCTCCAAGATTATCACCACAGATGGAGAGACAGACAGACACATACATACATAATACATAGAAAGATGAGCACCAGCATGTTCAGAGATGGCTTTGGAATATGGTGATGCTATTTCTTGGCCTGAGAGATGATACACTGGAGCTCATTTTATCATAATTTTTTTTATTCTGCCATTTTTCTGAATATAAAGTATTCTTACCTTTCTATTCATTTCTCAAAAGGAATCAGTTAAACACTCCAAAATATATATTACAGTTTTAAAAACTCTAATTATCTTACTTTTTAAAATATATGTATTACATTTCACAAGAAGTTAAAAATCAATCAAATGAAAACTATTAGCATGATGAACTCTGAGAGTACTTACCTCACTTTGTGGCTCCTGGATAACTTTATAGAGAGATGAAACTAAAGAACTCTTTTCCTTCAAATTTGTAGCATAATTTGGTAAAGATGTTTCCGGTAGTGTCTAAACAAATTTAAAAAATACACTTTACTTTTATGAAATGTCCCAAATAGGTAAATCCAAATACAGAAAGCAGATTGTCAGAAACTGGGGGAGGGGCAATTCAGAAGAGGTAGAACTGAGAGTGACTAACTAGATACAGATTTTCTTTTGGGGGTGATGGAAATATCCTAGGCTTAGATGATGGTGTTAACGGCACAACATTTTAAAACCAGTAAAAAACCTCTGCATTATCACCTGAAAACAGTGAATTTTTCATTATGTGAACAATATCTCAACAAAAAAAATGGTAAAAATAAAACAAAAGATATATTTAATCCTCAACATCAACAGGGATACAAATTAATATCAACAATGCATCTTTGATCAGAGTTTGGAGTTGGAAATAAGAATACGAATCATTTGTAAAGCCAGAGATTTTTTGTAGCAACATACACGTTACCAATCTCAACAGTATTTTATTCTGTTTCTTAATAAACATGTTATATAAGGATCTAATGTTTCAAACCTTAAAGCCACAGATCATATAATGACTGTTAAGTAAGACTGTTCTCCTTTACACAACTAGGGGGAAGTTTCTACTTCTTGGAATGGAGAAGAAGATAGCCACAATACCAACAAATTTCCCTAATGCCATTTAAAATGTCAACAACTAACCACAGTCTGGCAGGGTCACCCTTTCAGAAAGGACACCATGACCAGAAAGGAATGGGAAGAGATAAAACTCCAGTAGCAAGTCAGACAGTTTTGGGTAAAGGTAGTAGGGAAATCTGAAAACAACAACAACAACTTCATTATAACAAATGACAAAAACCTATCCTTCTAGAGTATGACCTTCTTAAACAATTTCTGTCTTCCAAGTCTTTATTTTTTCCTAGGAAAAGTATTTCTATCAATCAACCAACTAATCAACAATGTTCATCCTGCAGCAGATATAATGTCTCAAGATACTCCTAATAGTCATTGTAAGATATACATTATTTCTTCCATGTCCCATATCCTAGTATTTTATGATTTAAAATGGGTTATGGTTAGTGTATACAGGTGTATGTGTGCATAAATAGACATAGAAAATCAAACAGCATGTTTATAATAAGGATATTTGATTCATTTTAACTTTACTGTGAATTCCTCAAAGGCAAGAACTATCTTATCTCTCCACCCACAGGATTTAGCACAAGGCCTTGTACTCAAATCTTTGCTGCAGACATTACATAATAGATGAACAAAATAAGAAATAAATACTGTCACTGTTACTCTTAAGTAAATTCTTGAAAAATAGGTCACATTTCACCTTAGGATATATAAGTGAATAGACTTTTTTTAATTTAATAGGACAGTTTTGTTTACCAGAATGGTTAAGTAAATGTGAACTATCTGGGAACCTTCCGCCATTCTTCGGGTGGGGAGGAGAGAGTTTCACTGCAACTGCTTACATAAAGAGGAGATTAGGGCTTTCTTCAATATTTCAAAAGCATGTAACAAAAGATCTCCAGACAACATTCCATTTCTGTTATTTGATCAAGAGTAACCTAATACTGGTGGAATTTATATAAAAGGGAGTAACTGTCAAATAAACAACAGATGTCTAATTGCCTGGAAGATAATGAACCTAAGCTATGTACACAAAACACATTAATGTGTGTGTGTGTGTGTGTGCGTGTGTGCACATGTGTGTCTAAACATAAAATTCAAACTAAGTGAATTGAAAAATAAATCTTAAAAAATGATTAGTGAATAAAAAGATTTTTACATGCACTATCTAGCCTAAAACTGAAACAGTCATTAAAAGTGTGAATTACAATTTTCAGTTATGTACCAATTAACCCTCATGAGGTAAAATGTTTTTTGTGAAATAGCCAAAAGTAACAGGACAGTTCTTTTCCGAAAAGACAAGTTCTAGAAAATATTCTGGGCCTAGGCTACTACTGCTAAATGAGAGGAAAGGTCTCCTAAAAAAATTTGTCATTATTTCATTTTGTGAATGTGAGAAAAGTTAACTTTTGTCAATAGAAGGAGAGAAAATACAATTGCTGTGTTTATGAACAGTGCTTTGAAAACCTTAAGATCTAAAACAGCCTATGGATTTAAATATCATTACAACAAACCTTTAAATTTACATTGTACTAGTTCAAAGGTACTGGCCTTCTTAAGTACTAGTTAAGTTTTCTCACTTTGAAGAAGGCAGAACTAGAGACAAAAGAAGTAATAATGGGATAATATGGTAAGAAATTAGCCTTGGCAAAATTTGAAGACAGCTGCTTCATATTAAAGTATCATTTGGCAGATGGCTTTTATAAAATATAAGGAAGTGATACAGGTTAGATGTAAGAGAATTAATGAAGATGGACAGATGGATAGAGAACAAATAAATAAAACAACTCTGACCAACAACACTACATATAAGACTAGACTTTGAGTCACATATTGTGATTCAGTGACTACCAGAAAATAAAAAAATCTGCTATATAAATCTACACATAACATTAACAAAAACACAATACAATCTATAAGATAACATTTTATAAATAAGTATTTGAAATATAGAGACTGAACTAACAACTCATGAAATCTTAAAATAATGAAGTCTGAGTTTAATCACTTTGTTGGTATACTAAGAGAATATTAACGAGGGCCCAAAGCTGGAGTAGATGCTAGTTTGTCCAAAGGCAAAAAAGAAAAAAGAAGGAAAAAAAAAAAGCACAACACAAACTACGTCATCTTGTGCATTTGAGAGAATGCTGAGTGAGGTTCAGGCTGCACCCATGGAAAACTGTAGAGCTAAAATCATGTTCACACACCACCTATTTCAGTTTTCCTGGTGAAGATATTGAGACCCAAAGAAGTTATGCAATTTGTCCAACATTGTAAAACCACCTAGAGGAAAAATTTGACTTCTCAGTCTCAAGTACCCTGTACCACTTATTTTATCAATCATGATGACCTTGGCTTATTAGCACCACGGTTATTAAACAACCAAGCAGAAACTCAGATAGAATGACAGATAAATAATCTCTAAATTTTATTTCTTAAATATTTTAACCAAAATATGTAACTAACATCACAAATCATTTCAAAAGACAAGATACTTTAACTTCAAAAGTAAGAGATTTGTTCTTAGGTACTTTCCTATTTTCTATTATTTTTAGTATGTTGCTAACTTTGTCTGGTAACCTTAACCTCTTTACCAAACATAAACAGAGCTGAATTCAATGAACACTAACACAATTCAAGATAATTTTCAGAAATGCCTACCATATTAAACCAAACAGTAGGAAATATCTTCCCTTATACTTGACAAAAATTTGTATCATTTGTTATATCAAACTGACTATATTTACTTTTGGATGGTTAGGGGAAAGTTAAATAACTTTTCAGTTCATGGGGTCCAGGATTTTACTTCTCTTCTCTCAATGAAAAAGTTTACTTCCCAGGAATGGAAGAGAATAAACAGATGATAAGGGAAGAGAATTAGCCATAACTTTCAATTATTTGCCTTAATAGTTGACTCCGCCTCTATGTTACCCATCCTTCATCATGCCCTCTTGCCACAACTCCCATTTTAAAAAATGGCTTAATGGCTATATTTCCTTTTGCAAATTTTACTTCACCATTAAACAGAAGAATCTCCCAGAAGTGGTACTCAGCTGTTAAACTTGACAATTTTCATCAACTTGCCAAAAAAATCATGATAATGAACCATATTAAACTCTTATGAAACAGAAAAAAAGCTTAAAAACACAAGACAACTTATGTAAGAAAAAAAGGCACACACCAGATTTATTCAAACTGTTAAAATATGAAGACAGCACTGTATGCAGTGGACTATATACAGTGAGCTTCTATAAGTGCATGCATAACTACATCACTCTATGAATTAGGGGATCCATGGAAAGATAATTTATGACTACAAAAGCTGACAAAATGAAAATCTTTTTCATTCATCAGGATGAGATAACAACGGCTACGGCCAGCTACAAAATTAACAGGAAACATTGCTTCTCTCAAGGACATACTACAGCTGAAAAGTGTCATAAAAACCTCCATTAAAAAAAATTAGTTTTTAATGGAAGGATAATTGCTTTACAGAATTTTGTTGTTTCCTGTCAAACATCAACAAGAATCAGCCATAGGTATACGTATGTCCTCTCCTTCTTGAACCTCCATTTTTGAATGACTTCTGTATTCTTACTCAGTGAGGAGCTTTGTTATCTAAAATCAGAGATATCAAAAGTTTTGCTTTTTAAACATGTATCGATAAGAATGAAATATCCCACTGCTGCCTGGAGTCACCTAGACACAGAGAACCAGGCTTCAGATTAGGGGTTTCTGAACCCAACGTTCCACACAGATGTTAACTTTGTAGTTTCTAAAGACAACATGACCATGGGTTCACTTCACAATCCAGGTCTGATTTTAACCCCATTACACATAGCTCTGCTTTGTCTTGAGTCTATCAAAATACTATTTCATTTAAACTTTATCTGAACACCTTTCCTCCAAATCCTGTAATGATTTTATTTTTTTGTTTGGTGAGATGCCTACACAGTACCTATTTTATGGTGTCCCTCATTGAAACAAGCTAACGACTCTGACTTTTGTCCAAGGTCTTGGGCTAATCAAGCTAGACAAAAAAACAATAAAACAAAAACCAAAGTGTCAGCCCAAACTTTTCATTCTTGTGGTTCCTGATCAGGAAGTTCATGTAATTATGTGTAACAGTGAGACAGAGGACAAAAAGAAGGTGGTTAATTGGTTATTGTTTAGTCGCTAAGTCATGCAACCCCTTCGTCTACCACACACCAGGCTCCTCTATCTGTGGGATTTCCCAGGCAAGAATACTGGAATGGGTTGCCCTTTCTTTCTTCAGGGGATCTTCCTGACCCAGGATTCAAACCCATGTCTCCTACATTGGCAGGTGGATTCTTTACCACTGAGTAACCAGGAAAGCTCCAGTTTAACTGGTTAAAGAAACATAATTTTAGCTATCATGGAGAACAGTTCATAAGATAACCAAACAGAGGTTTTGTTTTTGATCCACTAACCAAAAGTTACATACCCCTTTACAGGCACTGGGTTAGCCAACTAAAGAAAGAGGCACTGATAGAAAGTTGTGCAAACATCTTCCCATCTTCTCCTCATTGCTGATCATGTCCATTTCCCTTGCCGCCCCAAACAGGGAGAAACACTTCAACCATGAATCATTCATGGTGGTTAGGGAGAGTGACATCAACTTTCAGAGACCTGAATCATTCTTTGTGATGTTGCCAAAAAAGGGAGAAGACAAACCTTTAAACCACTTGGCAAAGAAGGAGTCAATTTCCTCAGAAAGATTATTATGTGTAAATAATTCCCCAATAAGTTTTTTGGAAAATTCTTTGCTTCCACAGATATTTAGCTTTTTAGTCATTAAAAAAGAAAGTCACCAGAATTTAAAACCCAGATAAAACTTCTTTGGAATATAGTTATTATAGTAAAACAGTAAATATTACCTTAAACTCCGACAACCATTCCTCCACAACCCCTTTCTCTGAAGTGAACATCTTTCCACATCTGTTCTAAATCTTCAACCTGAAAATTAACATAGAAAACTGCTAAAATATTGAATACATTTTCTTTACAGTCAGATTACCAAGGATAGAAGTGATCCTATAAAATTTAGCTATTTTTTATTGAGAAATTAAAAGTTTCAAACATAAATTACTGAGTTACTATCAAAAATCAATGTATACAAACAGCATTGAAACGTAAGAATCATGACAAAAGTATAAACAATTATAACATGATGAAGTTAGCTCTACAATTTTCATTCAGGTTTTAGTAATGTCAGCTGCAAAACATACTGGACATTTTTCCTTAGTTTAAATTAAATAATTCCAAAGAGATAATGGAACTTAAAAAACATTTTAAAATTGTGAAAATATAAAAGACATGCATCCAAACTTGACTTTATAGAAAACATTAAAGTAATTTAATTTGCTTATATTTCAGTTCTTTAGTACAATAACTATCTAGGCAAGCCACTTGGTTTCCTGGAAACTTAATATTCATAAAACAGAAGTAAAAGTGGTAATATCCAAGATAATGGCTATATGCAACAACAGCTATTCATAAGATTGGAATTTACTTAAGTATAAATAAGAAAAAAAGGAAGTTAAAGGAAATGCAAAACAAATTTATCTCAAGCAAAACTTCTGTCAACGTACAATATAGTTTTCTTCACACCTCCATCTATAAGAGAGTGGACTGTTTTTTGAGGGAAAACTTTATTAGTTCTATCTGAACTTGCTAAATTCCTAAGTCAGGCACAAACTCTGCATTAACCTTGATATTCATCAGAATTATCATATAGAATAAATCGAGGCAAAATTGACAGAAACTGAATCTTAATTCTATTCTTACTTGTAGTATAAACTTGGGCAAGTTATTTGCCTTCCTTTTTTCATTCATGAAATAGGAAAAACCACAGTACATATTTTCAATGGATTACTGTGAAAATTAAATGAAAAAATGTAAATAAAAGCAACTGGCAATAAAAGTGTTGTTTTACTACGCAATACTATTATTGAAGACGATCAACTCATACAACTTTTGCTTAGTTGTCTATCAAAGTATACAGATACATCTTTTTTTTTTCTTTTTTCTGTTTTTTTGTTGTTGTTGTTGTTCTTTTTTTTTTTTTCTTGCTACATATACACCATGGAATATTATAAGTATACAGATACATCTTAAACAAACAACACAGGTTCTTGCAAAGAATACGTTCTAATGTTTCTATTGTCTAATTTCTATTAAAAATGGTTAAGAAAATACATATATTTGTTAATTCATTTATTCATATATGAAGAATTACTTGAGAGAGATGCATTTTACTTTTTTAGGATTAAAAAGTAGCCCTTTAAAAAAATAGTCCTTTTATTATTCTAAATTTTATCCTTTGATCAAGCCAAACTATTAAAAAATCACATTATTTGTACTGTATTATTCATTTTATAGTACTGTTCATTCACATAAACCAGGCTTTGAGTTTATGCCCAAAATGTCATGAAAACCCTGCTTGATCATATGTTATCCCCTTTAAAATCCAAAGGAGCAAAAAATTCACATCCTTGGTTTTCAATACCATGAAAAATTCTCCTTTAGAGTAACTGGTTTGCTTTTATATTATGGATACTGTGAATCTCCTAGCAGATACTCTTTGCTTTGATTTTAACAAAATGGAAGTCAAAGTTTCTGCCTAACTCTACCCACAAAAAAGCTGGCTAGGATTAATTCTATTTATAATATTATATTATACACGTTCCCTTATTTTCTTTCTACCTAGATCTACTTTTTTTTTTATCCTGTTATACACATTTGTGAAGCAAAATGAAGATAAATATAAGTACACATGAGTTTTCTTTTTACTTATCCATTGCTCATCTAGTAAATTAAGACAGAAAGCAATCACAAATAGAACCAGAAGTTACAAAGAATTGGGAAGATAAAATTTTTACAAAAGTTCAAAATAATTCTCTAATTAAAATTAATTTTTAAGAGGTTAAAATCAAGGGGGATATGCAAAAGGATCGAGAATAGTCAAAGCAATCTTAAAGAACAGCAGTGCTGGAGGACTTGGACTTCTAAATATTAAGGCTTACTACAAAACTTACTAAAAGCATAGTAATTAAGCCAGTGTGGTATTATCATATTATTATCATCAATAAAACCCAATGGAACAGAGCAGAATGGCTAGAAACAGACCTATACATACATGATGATCTGACCTATGACCAAAGTGACTATGTAATTCAGTAGGGAAAGAGTAACCTTTACAAAAAATAGGGTTAGGTCAACTGAACAGCTACATGGGATAGGGGGTAGAAAGAGAACCATAACCTACTAGCTAACACCATATGCAAAAGGTAGTTGCAGTTGGATCACAGATCTAATTTTAAAAAGCAAAACAAAGCTTTTAGAGCATAAAAGAATACCTTCAAAACCTTGGGGTAGGCAAAAAAAAAAAATTTAAACAAGAGACACAGAAGCACTAATCATGAAGGGATTTTTATAAATTGGACTCCATTAAAAGAATTTCTGTCTGCCAACAAATGAATGGATAAGGAAAATACGATATACATACAAACATACAATGGAATATTATTCATCCTTCAAAAGAAGGAAATTCTGCCATTTGCAACAACATGGATGAATCTGGGAATCTTACGCTAGGTTAAATAACCCAGACACATAAAGACAAATACTTCAAGGTCTCACTTGTGTATAGAATAAGTCAAACTCATGTTAACAGAGAGTAAAGTCATGGTTTCCAGGGGCTGGAGGAATGTGGAGATGCTGGCCAAAGGGCACGAACTTTCGGTTATAAGATTAGTAAATTCTGGTAACCTAATGGGCAGCATGGTAACCATGCTAATAAAATAATGTATACTTGAAATTTGCTAATAAAATAATGTATACTTGAAATCTGCTAGGAGAGTATGTTTTCAATACCATGAAAAATTCTCCTTTAGAGTAACTGGTTTGCTTTTATATTATGGATACTGTGAATCTCCTAGCAGATACTCTTTGCTTTGATTTTAACAAAATGGAAGTCAAAGTTTCTGCCTAACTCTACCCACAAAAAAGCTGGCTAGGATTAATTCTATTTATAATATTATATTATACACGTTCCCTTATTTTCTTTCTACCTAGATCTACTTTTTTTTTTATCCTGTTATACACATTTGTGAAGCAAAATGAAGATAAATATAAGTACACATGAGTTTTCTTTTTACTTATCCATTGCTCATCTAGTAAATTAAGACAGAAAGCAATCACAAATAGAACCAGAAGTTACAAAGAATTGGGAAGATAAAATTTTTACAAAAGTTCAAAATAATTCTCTAATTAAAATTAATTTTTAAGAGGTTAAAATCAAGGGGGATATGCAAAAGGATCGAGAATAGTCAAAGCAATCTTAAAGAACAGCAGTGCTGGAGGACTTGGACTTCTAAATATTAAGGCTTACTACAAAACTTACTAAAAGCATAGTAATTAAGCCAGTGTGGTATTATCATATTATTATCATCAATAAAACCCAATGGAACAGAGCAGAATGGCTAGAAACAGACCTATACATACATGATGATCTGACCTATGACCAAAGTGACTATGTAATTCAGTAGGGAAAGAGTAACCTTTATAAAAAATAGGGTTAGGTCAACTGAACAGCTACATGGGATAGGGGGTAGAAAGAGAACCATAACCTACTAGCTAACACCATATGCAAAAGGTAGTTGCAGTTGGATCACAGATCTAATTTTAAAAAGCAAAACAAAGCTTTTAGAGCATAAAAGAATACCTTCAAAACCTTGGGGTAGGCAAAAAAAAAAAATTTAAACAAGAGACACAGAAGCACTAATCATGAAGGGATTTTTATAAATTGGACTCCATTAAAAGAATTTCTGTCTGCCAACAAATGAATGGATAAGGAAAATACGATATACATACAAACATACAATGGAATATTATTCATCCTTCAAAAGAAGGAAATTCTGCCATTTGCAACAACATGGATGAATCTGGGAATCTTACGCTAGGTTAAATAACCCAGACACATAAAGACAAATACTTCAAGGTCTCACTTGTGTGTAGAATAAGTCAAACTCATGTTAACAGAGAGTAAAGTCATGGTTTCCAGGGGCTGGAGGAATGTGGAGATGCTGGCCAAAGGGCACGAACTTTCGGTTATAAGATTAGTAAATTCTGGTAACCTAATGGGCAGCATGGTAACCATGCTAATAAAATAATGTATACTTGAAATTTGCTAATAAAATAATGTATACTTGAAATCTGCTAGGAGAGTAGATTTTAAGTGTTCTCACTACACACATAAACATTGGTAATTATGTGGTGATAGATTTGTTAATTAACTTGATTGTGGTATACCAAAACATCACGTATACCTTAAATACACAATTATTTGGCAATCATATCTCAGTAAAACCGGGGTGGGGGAAGGGAAGAACTTCTAGTCACCAGAAGATACCACTAAGTGAATGAAAAGGCAAAACCAGAGTGGGAGAAGATACTAACAATTCTGTCAAAAGTCTCATATTCAGAAATATAAGGAATTCATCAATTATTAAGAAAAAGGCAGAAAATTCAATAGGAAAAGCAAGCACATCACTTATCCAAATGGAAATATAATATATGAATATATTATATTCATATATTATATTCATATTTCATATGAATATATGAAAGGTACCCAAGATTGTTAGTCATCAGGGAGATATCACACACACACACACACACACACACACACACACACACACACGGTGAGAATGTAAGAGACAATACTAAATGTTGAAAAATATATGAAGCAACCAGAATATTCATACACAGTTGGCACGAATGTAAATTGATACAGCATCTTGGGAAAATCTTGTTAATACCCTCTAATTGAACACATGTACACTCTAACAATTCCATGCATAAAAATATACCTTACAGAAATGTGGATGTATGTCTCTGAAAGATGTGTTCAGGAACATTCAGAGTAGCGGTTTTTATAAATAGTCAAAAACTAG